GTGTGTGTGTGTGTGTGTGTGTGTGTGTGTGTGTGTGTGTGTGTGTGGTGCGTGTGCCAGTATTATTATAATTCAACGGATCTATGTAAATGTCTATCACATCGAAGTATTTTTCTACTTGTCACAAATAAAAAATCATATTTATTACAGATTACTTATTATGGAACACCGCCAAGTTATTCTTATGGGATATTGTTAAATTCTGAAGGTGCATCGAAAAAAGAAATGCTCATTACATGTTCTGCCGTTTCTTCTGAAAACGGTAACAGAGTGTCATGTTACACAAGTATAATTAAGTATCTAAAGAAAAGAGACAGATTGTCTCTGCAACAAGTGGAGAAGAATAGGTAAATATGAAGATGTGTGTAAATACTTTTTTTTTTTCAGAATTCCAACAATGTGAAAATTAATTAGTTTTGAAAATGTTTGGACACTTGTTCAGACATCTTTATGACGTCGTTTATATACGTAGTATATTCTACCAATATTTTTTGACTTATTACAAGAAAAATTTAAATCTTTTAATATTTTTATACATACATGTTGTTGTAAACATTTCTGGGATTCTTGGAAACTTTGTTTACTTTAATAATTGTCGATCTAGACAGTTCATTTTGCAATTAATTGATGTGTGATACCTTCAGGATGCAAAATAAATTTCAAAATAACATTTTGCACTTTTAGAGCACTTGATATGAAAGAGGGATATAGTCAAATACAAATCACGCTGCTTGCCAATGATAGAAGACGCTCAATGTAGAGTTTATACGACCTTCTGAAATAGATATAAATATATACATTAAGCCAACCGTATATAAGTGACAAAGTGTAATGTTTATAATGATTATAAGTCAACGGTTGTGATTAGTAGAATTAAGATAAAAAATCTTAAGCCTACGAGGTAACTTAAAATACATATTAGGGTGTACAGGGTGTCCAAAAATTACGTTCTTTCACTGACAGATTCTGTGGAATATTCTAAGGCAAAAAACTTTTATGCGAAAATATCGAGGCTATAATAGTTTTTAAATGGGAAGCACTTAAAGTTGACCAATTAATTTGGCGCTTTAGTACTGTGTGACGTATTTAAACGCGTATAAATTTTCACAAATTCAATGGTCAACGAGGGCGGCAGTGTGGTCTAGACTCTAGTGGTAGAGCGCCAGACTCGTAATCTGAGGAACCAGGTTCGAGTCCACTAGAGCCGTGGAATTTTTTTTCCGAAAGCTGTGCCCCTCCGTGCAAGATTCAGGCCCTTGTGCGGAGCAAACTGGGGTCTTTCGGACAGAGACGTTAAGCCGTTGGTCCAAAGGGTTACGGGATTTATAGAATTAAATATAAAAATTTTAAATATAAACGCTTTAAATATAAATTTTTATATTTATATTTAAAGCGTTTATATTTAAAATTTAAGTGCTTCCCATTTAAAAACTATTATAGCCTTGACATTTTTGCATGAAATCCATTTAACAACTATTAGATTAGCCTCAACCTTTGAATACTTCTATAATCAAAGGCCCCTCAACATTTTTGCATAAGAGTTTTCGTCTTAGAGTGATCTACAGAATCTGTGAAAAGAACGTCCGGTAATTTTGAAACACTCTGCATACATGTATGTGATATCATATCGCTGCTACATTTGATGAACTGTATCTTATTAACAGGAATGTTATACGTGGTAGCATAAATATTATCATTGTAATGTTTGAATATTATTGTAATAACCGAAAATCACGGTTATAAGAATGTAATGAAACGCGATAAGTGTCATTTCTATTCATTTGAAAAAGCATGAAGTATAAGATGCTATTCTAAGACAAAGGATAAGAAATAGTAGTCAATCATATTTGTAATAAATTACAATTGACTCCTCCTACTCAGGTTTTATCCGGCATATTATATTTTTAATATTTAATACTGACTCAGACGAATACGCCGTTTTTCAAATGTGAAAATGGAAACTTGCGCAAATTCCTTTCATTACTTTATTCGTTCATAAGTTTTACACTATGTTATGTGGAAGATTCTGGTGTTATACATATTTTTATATAAAGGATATTTCTTCTCAAGAAAATATATTTATAAATTGCATATTGAACTCCAAAAATGGAATCTTCTACAGATGTGATGTTACTAGTATTATTGATAATTAGTGATATTCGCAAATTTGCTCATTGCTTATTTTAAGGTATCTGCCAGACATTTTTTATACTTTTGTAAATGATATTGGGGGAAGAAAACTTTTGTTATCTTTGTATGTTATAGCTATGTTATAGCTAAATATTAAATTTGACATTGTGTCAGTGAATGAATATGTAAAAAGAATTTTAATAAAATATCGAGAGAACCCATACTATTTGTATACAATTTAAATTGTATTAAAAAAAGAAACGTATTCAGCGCCCCAAAAACTAAAGAAACGATTATCCTCATTCTTATGCTAAAAAAAGACATTTTTTGTCGAGCAGTGCATTACGGATCTGTTGAACTTTATTCTGATTTTATTTAGAGGACTACGTAAGAAAATTACGAATTTTATTTCTGGTTGTCCCCGCATTTCTAAAATTTATTTATATTTATGCGTACAAATATAAAGTACAGAAACGTAGGAAGTATATACAATAGTGTATTTACAATGACGATATACAAAACTTACGAATTAATATGAGTATATAATAATTATACGCTTTTATACATGCTTATGTGACTAATACGAGCTTCGTCATTAATAACTTACGCCACTTGAATACACCTACGCGCTCACGGCTTACGCTATAAATACAAAAACTATTTGGTAATCGTTGGTACCACCAAGAGAGTACTGATTCTTTGTGAAGAATTAAATCGGTTTATTTAAAGAAATCTTTTTATGGAAACAGCTTCTCTTTCTTTTGCGTTATTTCTGCACGTGCAAAGTTTGACATCTGTAAACTCAGAATTACGGTTGACATATCCATATACTGAGATATCTTATTGTGTCGTGAATTAGCTGACTTCTCGTAAATAAGCGATGTTCTCCTCTTGCGTCGCTCTCTTAATACTCACGTTTGCAATAACGATCAAGTCAAAATGAGAGAGTGAGCGAGAGAAAAAGCATGCCACGATATTTTCATTGCTACTAAAATAAGATTAATGACAGGAAGCTTCGCAATAAGAATACTGTTCGAACATTATTTTTCTAATGACTTCGTAATACGGTCATTCGATTGTACCTGCGATGAGAAAACTTTGAAGTAGCGCGTATCATCAATACGATGTAACTGAATTCAAATTAACGTATCAAGTCATAAAAATTGGGATATCAAAAGATTTTATCATTTAAACCGCTATCTCGCGTGTGTCTTAATTATTCTCAAATTTATCTGACTGATTTGATCATTCTATGCAATAAAACTCTTACGGCTAGTTCTTTATATTATTAGAAATAGAATTACACATACAGAGGGTGACCCGTAAAGATCGTAACAACGCTTAAGGACAGATTTCTGAAATTATTTTGAGAGAATCCTAATATCAAAGAAATGAAGCTGTAATAGTTTTTTAATTATAAGCATTTAACATTAATGAATCAGGTCGCCTAAGGTTCGCACAGTCAGGTACAGAAAACGTCTGATGCCTTTTCGCTAGAGTTTCTCAAATAATAGTTTGGGCACTTCCATTTTCAAGCAAACTGTGATTGTGTGTTTTTCAAAGATGTTTAGTATCCGCGCAGTTTATTGTACAATGCGCAGTATCAAAGACGAAAACTGACCGTCACCTCTGTTGATTATTTAGCAGGATCGTGTGGCAGGATCGATTTCGGGAATCTCGCGAATAAGATTGAGCAAGCAAGATATACTGGAATATATTTTGAACAGTACAGAAACGTAAACTTAGATAAACTCTTGTGGAACTGAAACAGTAGCGGCTTGTACAACAACGTGCTGCTTACTGTTGCGTGCGCGACTGAACAGAGATGCGAGCCGGGGGGAAGAAAGAAAACAAAACGCTAACGCATGCACGGTCGCTGTTGCCTCAATAATAATAACGGCGTGAAGCGCGCCAAGCTTAAAGCCCATTTCACGGTGACAATCCAACAACCTCTCTTGTCAATATCGATATAAAGATTACATATATGCAAAAATAGTGAGATCACTTTTGCTAAAAGTCGCAGTCTATATAGATAATAACATCTTACTAAAAATAACAGAAGAAAAAAACACTGTCGGGTGACATTTCTTTCAGAGATTTATTGTTTATTTTATACACATAAGATGCATTTGTGCAAAGTCAGTAAGAGCGATCTCACTATCTTTGCATATGTAATCTCTATCTCGACAAGATGGGCGGCAGTTAACTATCATTTTTAGCACTGTGAATTGTACCACACATTTGAGCGCGTAAATTTTAGACGACTCTGTTCGCTAATTTTTATACTTATACACAAAAACTGTTACAGCTTCGACATTTTGTACTAAGATTTTCGTCTCAAAGTGACCACAAAAATTTATCCTTAAATGTTGCGAAAATCTTAATGGGACACTGTGTATTCAGGGTGTCTGATAATTACCGTCTCATCTCTTGTGCAGATAGAGCGGTTTAACTGGATAGAGAAGTCCTTTACCATTTTACGAGTTTCTCAATAATTAATGAAAAGTTAATTAACAAAGACTTGCGAATAAGCGTGTAATGTGCATCCACGTGATTCAACGACAAGAGACAGCGTTACGCATTATTTGTGATTGCTAGACGCACGTTCCTCGCGTTACGCGTTGCAACCACAATCATTGTGTAGCACTAGGTCTCTTCTCGCCGAATCGCGCGGACACACGCTCTTTACTGATTATCATCTCATTAATTACCGCAAAAATAGCACAGGACTTTTCGAGTCTACCCACAAGAGGTAGTCCGCGAAATATGAGAAACCCTGTATAATGATTAAACAACAATCTACTCAGGCACGTTGATTTATGGTTTATGGTAAAATGGTAAAATCGTGGATCCAACACACAAAAATATTATTTTTTCATTACATTCGTCAATATTCATTAATTTTTTTTTAAAGCAGGAAGTCGTTCCCTTTAACGTCACCTTCTGCTAGTCCTTCAAGAATTATCATTAACTTTAGGCTTCGGAAGGTCCGAAAGATCGAACCCAAATAATAGAATTTCGAAAGCAATCAGGAAATATATTGTTTATTCAACTACCAAATTACCGTCTGGTTTCGCTGGCCTCTGCATCAAAGAGTGGTGTTTTCTTCAATTTCCATTGTGAACGGGAAATCGCAATCTAATGACAGCCGCAACTCTTAACGACCATGTTCTTGTATTTCTTCAGGATGACATTGCTCTCATCCAGGAAATACAGAACCGAAATGGCCGAAAGCTTAGTGGGCGCGCAGCACGGCTTGGGTACCTTGCCTGGGCTCACCAAGTGCACTAGAGTCTGAACTATCGCGTGATTGGTCGCGTTCATATGAGCGTTCAACGGAAAGTTGCACTCCCCGCTGCAGTAATACGCGTCATATCCATCCGGCGCGATAATCCAATCCTGCGTAACGAAATAAAAGGTATAAGGAATGACGCATGTATGATCTAAGGCGCCTGCTGGTCCCTCACCGCGCGCACTCGTCGGATTCGTAGAAAAAACACGATTCCTCGCCTGTGACACCGTGTAATCCGACACGGCTGCCGCGAGGGAACCAGAGGTTTTAAAATACGCTGATTAATGGCTCACCTGCCACTGCAAATCGCGAAAGCTGACATACAACGTTTGAATCTTGCAGGTCCGTGAATATTGCGCTCCAGGATCTGCAAAAACATATTATCTTTCGTCACTGCACGTATAGCTTCTTCATTTATGAATTTTGCCGATTGACATAGAGAACAGAAATGAAAAAGAAGAAAGAGAAAGAGGAAAAGAAAATCAAATTTATATTTCATGTTCACATATAAATTAATTATATGTAAATGTACATAAGTTAAATGGGATTGCTGTATCCCATACTTACCAGTGTAAGGATTATTTCGGTAATCCCAACTAGTTACCTCGCTCTTCTTCTTCCTCTTAGCATCGCGTTTCTGTCGGACTTTGGCCTCTCTTACGCCCGAGCTCTTGAAGTAACCCACTATGAAGGGTTGCTTGTCCGGATCACCACGGAGTCCTACCGCTATCCCGATATCTTCCGGTTTCACTTCGTGCGCTGCAACACATCAATTGAAGGAATGAACGGATGAAGTCATTAAACTGGTAGCAGCAATGACAGCTTATTTTTCTCTAGGAATATATTTCTTCAAAGGACAGAGAGATACGATCGACTGAAGCAATACAGAAGAGTAAAATAATGATATACGAAAGAGCCATATCTGAAATAGAGGAGGAAACAAGAGAGAATACATATATATATAAAAAATGCATAAAGAGAAGGAAAACATGTTGAAAGCCGCTAGAAATATCGATGCATCGTTACTCTTGACGCGCTCGAGAGAGACGTTCTGCGAAAATCGCGTTGCGAAAACAGGAGGCTCACATATTTCGAATCTTTGTTCCGTAAGTGGAATGTATCGAGTATACGTGTTTATTAGAATGGCCTGCGTCTCGGGTATTATTAATAGTCAACCTTCATGAATATTGAACGCTCAAGAATCCCGGCGCAAAGTCAAGCCCGGCTTATCTTAGACGTTCACTTCCAACGCGCGTTTCAGTCGTCTCGTTTTAATTGCTCTGGAAAATTCCAGGATTGTTGCACAAGAGGTCCTCGCACAAAATTCGTGTCCGTTCGAGCGAATCGGATTTATCGAGCGGAGACGCGTGCTTATCCATCTTTTTTTTATTTTATTTTCACGATCGAGGTCCGGAGAATCCCTCGATATTTTTTTCATTACAACTTCATTACGCCGATAATTCGATCGTTGGAAAGTTATCGCGCCCGTTTACTCGGACTCGGATTATTCCTCGCGATCCTATCTCTCTCGGCAAATGAAGTCTTAAGAAAAAAGAATAGTTCCGCGATAAATATCGATCCCGATCGCGGCGAGATCGGGAATGCCTAGGAGAGGCCTCGTCGCCGCTCGAACGATCGTGTATGCAAACGATCCGGTCGCACTCGCGCCCGGAGAGTACCGTCCCCCCCGGCTTGTACCGCAGTACCGCGGTGCGTGCGGGCCCGAGAAAGCTAGTAAATTGACCGGCAGGAATGCGCATTCGCCGTGATTGCGGCGGACACCTGCCGCCGCAGTTGTTGCACTTTGCGCTGCTCCTGAGGAATGCACCGGGCACCGCGGCGCACGGCTGCCTGCCTCTCCGAGGCGACGTATTTCAAGTTCTGTGTCAAGTAATTTTGTCATGCTTCCCGTACGCTCCAGCAGTCCAGCATCGGCTGGTCGCATCGGCGCGGCGATGAATGGCCATTAAATCCACGCTCTACCTCCTGTACATATACGCGTATAGCCGCATAAGGGAACGTAATTACGGTTTTCGAAAGCGGACACGCGATGCCGCCGACGCCGATCGTAGCTGTAAATTAAAAGGTTGATTACACTTGGTGAACGTCGTCGGGATCATTCGCGGACGATTTCGCTGTTTCTCCTTTCGTTATTAATCCGCATTCAGAGAATTCAGCGGTTTCGCGCAGGATTAGACCAAAAAAAGAGAGAAAAAGAAGCGATTACGGAATTAGGATACATCGGAGTAATAAAACTCTTCATTCAGCTGTGCGCGTTCATTCTTCTTCGCGCAAGGTAAATTGAGTTCGGAAACTACAGTTTTATTCGATACCATGGTAACTGACGAGAATATCTTCCAATTGTTACCATCAGCATGGACGATGGATTGAATTTTTACCTAAAATAAATCTTCGAACTCATAACTTTGCCGAAATAATCAGCGTCATTGCTAATGCTTCATCTCTTCAATAAAGAATCACTGCCAATTTGATCGAGAATTTGATTTGTGCGGTCGAAGAAACGGATGTGGCTAAAGAATGCATAATTGTTGGTTTATATTTAGAATTAGCTTATATTTGGACACAAGTGGGGTATCCTTGGAGTTTCTCACGCGGAGAAACACGCGGCGAGAGAAAGAGAGAGGGGTAGAGAGAGCGAGAGAGAGGTAGGAATCAGGCGTAAAGATTCGTGAGAGGCATGTGACTCTCCGATCTTGCGTTTTATATTGAACGATCAAAGGTAAACCGGTTGCGGGTTCTGAAGAGCGAGACGAGAGGAACGAGGAGAGAAGCCAGATGAAAGAGAAAGAGAGCAGGTAATGAAATAATCTAGGCGCGGCGAACAACAAACCACACGTACACACGTACACACATGTACAGATGTAACATGCTTGAATACGTATGCGCTATTTGTGATTGATTCGATATTTATATCCACATTAATATCTAACGTTGCCCATCTTATTACAATTTTCATACAAAATATAATAACGCTTACAATAAGTTTACAAATTCTTATTTTGTTTTTGTTCAATCAATAAATATACTCTATTTAAAATATCTTAGGCCATATTGGCAATACAAAATTTGGACTAAATGGAACGAAACTTATATCAATTATGAGGAGACTCGTTATCAAGGATAGTGAGACGAAAATATGATGAGTGTTTATTACTGGTCTCTTCTAAGAGAAGCTGTCAACAGCTTACGAGAGGCAAAAGATTTCATACAAAACATTTTAATATATCTTTTTAATTACAAATGAAGTTATTGCAAACATAAAATTCTTTAATTTTTATACTGTTATTTTTTTTCCTGAAATTTTGGCATTTACTATTCATTGCAAAATTTTGAAATTGCGATAAAGGCATTTCTAAATGTGTAGGAACATTTTGCTTGGCAGATCACGTTAATGACCGTATTGCCGAGATAAAGGCGTTTTAATATTTAAATAACAATTCGGATAACAAAAAACGATCTTTTTGAAACTAAATGAATAAATAGTTACTCTCGCAGTCAAATAGTTTTATGTTATTCCTAAACGATTAATATCTTATAACTAGCTCGATTACGATCTGCTCGGCAGCTGTGTTGTGTTACCAAATCAAGCGGAATTTTCATCGTGATAATCTAACAAACAGGTGTAGATTATCTATCTTCCTTGGCAACAATTCTCGTTCAGAAATTCAGTGACAAAATCGAGCCCAATCCTTTTCGTCGTATCTCTTTTTTTTCCTTCACCTTTTTCTCTCTGTTTTTTTTTCTCTCCTGTCCTACTCAAGAGAACTGCTGTTCTCTTGAATATAACGTGAGCACCTCTCGAGTGAGTCTACCTCATCAGCGTGGGAAGACAAGGCGACGCCATCGCAGATGATGTGTGGTAACAAAGTGTGCGAGTCAATCGCAAGCAAGATCAAGAGAAGTCAAACAACGTTTAACTTCTCAAAAGCAATAGAACAAGCTTAAGTTTTTTCAAATATAATTATATTAAACTGTAAAAAAAGAAAGCGCGGCAAAGCCACGAAACTTAACCACAAAAAAACTTTACGCCGAAATTACATAGCTTCGACATTTCATTTATAAATTTGCAAATTTGTAATATTGACTTCAATGTAATCAAGTCTTTAATTAATGATTTGAATTAATGAAAAGTGTCAGTTCTCGTGGTATTAAAGAGATTCGGATATTTTCAACGCTACGAAATGCGATTTTTCGTCAATCTAAATCGCGATGAGACGCAGTACGAGTAAGCGTCTCTTCTCGTGAGTCACAAGTGCAGAAAAACTAGGAAGAGATTCGAGATTCAAGAGCTGTCAACTCGCTACTAATCTTTCGTGTCACGCACACGCGCTTTAGCACAAAGGTATGGCAGTGAGAGCGCTGAACAGGTAATAGTACACGAAAGAAACACACGAATACACATGACCGCCAGGCGTGTGAGAAGTTGAGAACCGAGGAAAGATACGCTCCTCTAATTCAAATAAAACACTTGAAGCCTACCTACATTTTTAAAATATTGCTTTAATTCCTTTTAGTGACACAAGTCGACACAAGTGTCGTTCTGTCTTTGTTATTCATTGAATGCCAAGAAGGATAGAACGATGTTTGTGTCGACTTGTGTCACTAAAAGGAAAGCAGCCATTATGAGGCTCTCGGAAACCAAACTGAATCGACTCAAATAAAAGATTAAGAAAATCGACGAAATTATAAACTAATCATGTATACTAAAATTTACAAAAAGTGGAGTTGATTAACTTGGCTTCCGAGAGACTCGTATATAGGAAATCGATCGATTGTTCTTTTTAATTATTATTACTTTCGTCGCCTAAAAATAGATAGATATGAAAGGCGTATTTCCGGACAATCAAGAGTTAAGATTTGAGTTTCCTCATACTTCGCTCGCGACCCGATTTCGATAAATATCGAACGTGTTTATTATCAAACCGGAAGCCCTTCTATATTTAGCACGCCGTTCCTAAGAAGTCGGGCTAAGAAGTTCCGATGGAAACACGTTAAGAGAGACTTGCAATTTAATTCGCGTTTAGAGTTCTTACTCGAACGTTCCGCCTATTCTTTTCTTTATAAATATCTTCTTTTTGTCTCTTAATAATACATCCAGACGGGAATAACGTGGATAAGAATAAAATTTTTTATTTTGCAATTTTAAATACCAAATAAATATCTTGCGGCATTTTTTTCAAGACAAAAACAATCCAATGGAAGGAAATTAGAAAAGATAAAAGCGCTTACCTGAACGTTCATCGCGTACGGAGAGATACAGTCCTCGATTTCCTTCCGGATTGTTTATCCAGTGATCAAGAGCCTCGGTGGTGTTGAATGTCAGCCAGCCCCTCTTGCTGTCCGTAACATTTACGGCATCGATGTACTGTAATTCTCGAATCCTGAAATTGAGACGAGAGAGCTGTATCTCTATCCCGCTCCCGGATAAATTTGCAACAAACAATATAGGAATGCGTACGAATTTATCGTTGTAGTGAATTTTCTAATTGACGGTTCGTCTAAATTTACGAGAACTTATTTCAACGAATCTTATTTCAAGATACGATGGCGAAAAATACATTTGACGCTTAGTATCGAAGAGTTGCAACAATCAACAGCCTAAATAGTAAATAAGTCACGCTCGTGCGTAATATAGGAAGCAAAGCAATATAAGAAGTTCAAAGGCCAAAATGCGAACAAGTTAGGAAGAGTTAAAGTAAGTAATATAAACTAATAGCCTATTTCGAAAGTTGACTTCGGGCGATTCGACAAAGACTGATTGTACTACACGAATGAATAAGTGATTCCGAAAGACTACGTATCCTCAAATGCGGATATTCACATACGCACTAATATTTTACTAATAGCTATTCATACTCAGAAATTCTTCAAATTAAAAAAAAAACTACGTTTATGTAAGATATATCCTAGAACATATTTTTAAGCTCCGATTCGTTTAGTATCTCTTTCCATCAATATAGATTAATTTTAATCTCGGTTCAACTTACTCTTCTTATCTTTTTCTAATTCTTAAAACTAGAAAAAGACAAAAAGCAGTTGAACCGAAATTAAAGTTAATCTACATTGTTAAAAATGAACGGACACAAGAAATGCAGAGAATTTCAGTCTCTCCATTACATGAAATCGCCACAGGCATTACTGATTACGGTGCAACGACAGGTATTCTTTAGTGTAAATAAATAGACGTATAGGTACTCCGTGCACGTAAACACGATGTAAAGCCAATGCTGTACGCTCAACAACACCGATCGTCACGCACGACGTGTCGCTCGAATGCCTCGTCGTGATTCCACGTATTGTAATTTCTAATTAATCGCGAAGCCGCGCGCGTGCCGCGTATCAATAAGATCCTCAGTCAGAGAAAACACGCCGATCATTGTTCATTAAGCAAATGATCTTCGCAGCGTCTAACTCTTATCGTTTTTCCGCAAATCGATTATCGTAATTGAACGGACTGTGAGATTCCCTGCGTTCTTCGGGGTCGAGCCTCGGCCCCGGCTTCCTTTCATCCGACGAAACCGAGATCGAACGAAATCGATTTGCAAATTTGACGAATCCAAATTTCGATTAAACATCCAAACTTTCTTAGACAATGAATAAGGTTTCGATTGGATAGATTTATATATCCATTTGCACGAATATATTTATGGCTCTTGCTAGCAACATATGAACAATTGTTAAACATACATATCTATTAAAAAAATAATTAAATGAGAACAAAAGGATTCTATTTCCAAATCAATAGAAGAAATTTTCTAAAATTCTCAAAGCTTCGCTTCAACTTCCATTTACAAACGATCAATCCTGTCGTTTCAATTGTTAAATGTAACTTTTCGAGAACGCTTATCGACGTTTATCATTGGAATTCCGCATTCATGTTCGTAACGATGTGCCGCGAAGAGGTTTCATTACGAAAGCAACGAGTCGCCAGCTTGTCTCGCGAGGATGAAGAGGCAGGGGGGAGAAAAAGAAGGAGGTAGAGGATGCGTCACGCATAGTTTGACTTTGATGGAAAGAGCCGAAAGAGCCGGCGCGAGGAGGGTGAGAAGAAGATAGACGCAGCAGCGTCCGAGCGCAACTGCGTAGGCAGAGGAGACGAAGAAACACGCGAGGAGAGCCTGTTAGCCCGTCTCCACGGCTAATTTACCTCAATTTACGGAATAGCGTTTCCTGTCGGGGCCTGTATATCGGTCAGGCTCAGGTCGCCGGTGCCAAAAGTCTCCGGGGAGGGAAGAGAAACGGGGACGACGCATGAGACGCGCACTCGGCCTGTCACTCTCCTCAATCCCCCCCCCCGGCAGTAAATCAAACGGCTAGAAGAGGTCGTTCTAGGTGACCGAAACTTGCGAAACGGAAGATTCAAACCTCGGATAACTGGACCTTCGTATCTGATGTGTTAGGAGTTTAGCGCGGGGTCTAATGCCTCGATCTGAGGCCGATTACGCTAAGCTACCTCAGAAGCGAACGTCTCCGTAGATCTTCGACGCAAAATTTCAGGGAAGGCTTAGTTTGCGGTCCCACAAATTTGTTGTAGAACCATCTTCGTTTAACTCTCTTAGCGAAAAATCCGCTGATTGGAATCTAAGAAATTTTTGAGCTCCTTACTCTCCGGAATGTCGAACTTTGAAGACAACTAGAGACGCGCGTGATTCCGAGTACCGAGGAATGCCGGGTGCAGCGACGATCTGTGAAAAGGGACAATTCTCTTCGAATTAAATTCCCTTCGAATAAAAAGGGTCATTGAAAAGTGTACTTAAAAGCACAGTTACGACGGCCATTAGCGGCGACGGAGCGTCTCGTGACTCACGGTTTGTAGGACGGAGCTGCACGTTCATTAGATAGAGCGTCACTAGACAGACCGTCGCCATTTACCGCCGGCGTGGAGGTTTGCCCTCCCGGATTAACTCACCACGCTTTCCTTTTTACGATTCAGTTCCCACCCGGGACGGGTTGGTCCCCGCCGGTGGCCCTGCGGCTAACGGCTACATCTGTATCCACGATGTATTTCCGATTATCCGCTCGTCCGCTCTGCGCGTTATCCGCGCACAATTGTTTCCTAAACCGCCAAACCGCAAGATAAATCATCTTGCAATACACACACAATACGAAAAGAAGCTAAAACGTCTCTCTCGTCCTTTAAGCGAGGAAGATGTATACGATACGAACGAGAAAGATGGAGAAGTCGAAGATACACGAGGGAGAACGTTCGGCGGAATACTTGGAGTTTTTCCCCCTAACGTTCCAGGTAGAACAAATGCCTGAGACTCTTTCGGCGAAGGATTAAGGACCTCCTAATTAGGGGTACGATGACGATGTCAAAAACCGCGAAGGATGCCCGGAGGAACGTGAAATTGGTCTAACCTTAGGCGTCCTTGGCACAAGGCAAAATGGGCGAACAGCGAGTACCGTCTTTCATTTCGGTCTTATTATCGCAACATGAAGATGTTTTTTTTTAACTTTCGTTAAACCGTTTTAAACGAAAAATTTCATTAAAATCCCATCTCCAGATTCTTGCGTTACTTGGCGATTCTTAAATTCGCTTAAATAGTCCGGCGAGATTATCTGGAAGTATAGAAAATGGATAATTCTTCTCTTACCCGTTCTCAGTCTTCAACACCCGGTACACCGTGATTGTGTAGGAGTTATGGATCCTCCGATTCCTCATGTGTGAGTGGTGATACAGCCTAAGCTCACCGCCGATCAAGTATTCTTCAGGTGGTACCTCGGACACGTCGAACCAGAGCCTCTTCCCACGTTCGTGTCTCACCGGCGGGACGTGATGATCTATTTTAAATTACAAGTCTGCGATCAGCACGGGCACCATTCGGAGAGTGGCCGCTCACAATAGTAATCACGCAACAAAAATCATATGTCTCACGTATATCCACGTTCGATTTTAGAGGTTTCTAAGTTTTACTGAATGGGGCGCTCTGAAATTCATTCTTGCTGAAAATAGTTAGACAGAGATAACGATCCAAAAATGATTTAGTTACAACAGCACAAGGTTTCAGGAAGGGACGTATTTTGCACGTTCTTGGTATATATCTTGACAAATTGTCTCTCCGTCCTCACCGGAAGATTCTACCTAATGCAGTCCACTTTAAGAACGATCGTGTAAATGGTCAGCCTAGATTATCGGCGCAAAGCTTTGAAACTTATGACTCAGAACTTCGGTCGAACCATTTCTACGGGAACATCGGGCGGTCAATTAGTCCTTCTTCCCAACGAGGAGATAACGTTCCGTTATCGCGAAACGAAATTTCTACGAGAGAGCTCCGGGGCCGATAATGGGACCCTTGGTGAGTCCCACCTGAATTCTCCGAGGAGGCCCTTAGAAATGAACCGTGGACAATTCGCAGCGTGAAATCGAGCTTTTTCTTACCGTCAAAGTGGTTGCCGCCCTGCGAGCGAAGGAAGGGCGGTAGGGGAGAAGTACCCTTCCTTCGCGGTAGACTCAGGGGGAGGGGGAAAGGGGGTTCTAAGTAATGCCTAATGCCTCCGCTGAAGTGGGCGGCTTGGATCTGAACGGGGACGCGAGGCGAGCGGGCATGGAGGGGAAGGGGGGACATAAAAATTTGTTTTGTTTTTTCGTTCCGACGGTCGCATTCCAACGGTACCAGATTGCCGGGGCCTCCTCGGCTCTCGGGGTGGTCTCAAATAGCTTTTGGGACCGTCCGTGGAGCGTTCTGTGGCGAGCCGCGTTTTTGTTTTTTACGCCGCCGCCCGCCGCCGCCCGCCGCCGCCGCGCGGTACCTTCCCATCATCTCCCCCACCGCCGTGTCTTCCTAATGTGTATGTATGCGTGCGTCAGTACACGGTACGGCGAGAGAAGGGTAGAATAAGTCTTACCCGCGTATTTTCTTAATTCTTGAGATACAGCGGGCGAAATTCTGGTCACATCTTCAATAGAATCTTTAAAAAAAAAAAGGAAAAAAAATTATATGTATAATCTTTTCTAAAAGTGATTCTAAAACAGATTTCTGCTGTCATGCGTTCAGATTCGATACGATGTCAAAACTAGGGAGAAGGGGGAGGGGGGTTTTAATTGACACACGTTCGTATATTGCGAATGAATGGAAAGATCAAACGGCCATCGACATCGCGTCGAAAAAAATCCCCCCGGTCGCACGGATCCGTTACACACATTCAGTTCCGCCGCGAATCCATCCATCTCCAAGATCCAGCAGGATCCTAATCTTCATAATTCGTAGCCGCGCGTCTCCCTCCGGGCAACCGGGCCCGTCCCGCTGTCCGCGTGAAGAAGGAGCAGGGGTGAAAAAGGAGCAAAAGGATGGGAGGGGACGAGCCCGAGCCCCCAAGTTGAGACATTTTAACCTGCCTGTGGCTTCGCGCGCGAGGAAAGAAAGATGCTTATTGACTCGTCTTTCCCAGGGGGGTATCCCATGAAACACGGCGGTGAGAGGGGAACGGAGGGAGAGAAGAGACTTTGTATATAAGACATATGGGGGCCTACACGGCGCGGGGTCCGCGCTCGCGTGTTGTGCAACCCGTGTGGCGATTGATGCACTCCGAATCAATCCTTTCTATCCTTGTTTTTTCTGATTTCGATCCTCCGTTTCTGTCCCTCTGTCTCCCTCGCGTTCCCCTGACCACCATCTTTGTCTTCACCTCGCGCTCTCGTTATCTCGCACCTACAGCGGATATCACTTGCGGTATAATTATACCGATTTATATGCACGCCGCATTTCGCGTCGAGCAGCCTAGAACATTCCTCACCGTTTCCCCGACGAGGACGACAGCAAAATAGAAAACCGGACATACGAACGCGCAGAGAGAACGAGAGGAGGGGGAAGGGTAGGAGGCAATAACGGGTTTCCGGGGAATCTGATGAGCGAGGAAGAAAGAAGGGAAGATGGAGAATTCTTAGATTCCTCATCGGGTTGACGATTTTCTTTTTTAATTCGAATCGCAGAGTCGCGAAACGGCGACAACGCGGTCGATTTTCGAGAACTCGTTACGTGCGCCTCGCATTCCTCCTCGTGACTTCACACCTCAGGAACGTGCCCGAGAGGGAAAACTATGTACCTGTGCTTTAATCTGTCTTGTCAAAGGACTTTGCCGCGCTGGGACATTTCTCGGGGACTACTTGGCACGAGGAATTCGGAGATCGCAAAGAGATGCGCCATGTTTTAGCATTTGAAACATAAAGAACCTTAAAGGCTGTTTAAAGGACCTTCTTTTGTGCAGCAGTAAATTCGACCTAAAGTTCTTCGCAGAAACGATCATGATACCTTTGTAAAAAAGGAGAATAATTCGAAATCTATTCCCTATTTTTCATGTTTCCGCGTTGGACATGCGCAACTTTTTACGATGGCGGATGTTCATATTTCTTAGCAGAAATCGCCATGCGTTGAATAAACTGTTTCGCGCTTGAATCCTGATGTGAATAGCGAACGATTGCAGGTGAACGAACGCGAAGAAGATATTTATTCGAGTGAAATGTGTATCGCATAATCGCACAAAATCTCATTTTCAATTAATTCTTCGAGCCGATTCTTCGAGCAATTTAGCGCCGATTCTATCTTGACACCTGATTTGATCTGCGTTCTCAATATTTTAATATTCAACGTTAAATATATATACGTTAATAATTAGTAATATATGTGTAAAGTTCAAAATATATAATACTTACAATTAAACTTCAAAGTAAAGTAAGGGGCAAGATAACAGTTTGCTTAAGATTAAATAATTATTTTTTGCTTTCAAAGCTATTTACGCATCCTTAATTTACACGAAAGCCATGAACATATAATAATATAATAATATAAATATATAAGAATAAGATAAGACATATAAGATAAATATGTAATAAAAATATATAAATATATAAATATCGGGATAAATATATAAAATATAAAGTATTATATAATTAAGAAGCAATAGATGCTTCGACACTCCAGCTACGAAGAAATCGACTTCAAATTAATCAATAAATCTATCAGTTTCGCTCTGCGTTACTCTCCAGTAAGCTCCTCTCAATCGATTTGATTCATACTCACTGTGTGTCATGAAAGTCATGATGACATCGCTCTGATCGATCGCCTTCAGCTCCTGACCGCTGAGGTCGAACTCCCCGGCCTTGTGACGATGCGCCATGGGCTTCTCCTCCTCGTCCTCGCCAAGGGCGTTCTTGTAGATGTCCAGCAGAAACTTGGGCGCCGACCTCCTGACTTGGGGAGGTCTGCTGACGGTGTTCCGCGGACGTTCCGGGAGTCCCAGCAGATTCAGGATCTCGTGCTCCACCTCGCGCTTCTCACGCTGATCCACCACACGGTGGATTATCGTCTGATCGTATCCGTTGTCCACGTATAAACCGCTCATCTTCTCGGCGCTACCAACGGTCAAATCGCCGAGGATTGATGCGAGGATCAGCAGGACGGAAAGGGGTTGGACTGACATGATTATATCGAGGGGAGATCAGTATCTTTTAATCGCAACGACCTTTTGCCTCCCTTTTCGAACCCCTGCTCTTCTTCCTATCGACTTTTCTTTTCCCTTCTTCTCTTTCACTCCGCAAGATACTTCGGCTCGTGCCTTAATCACTGAACAGAGTTTTCTGACTTCTCTCCTCTTCTCCGTCTCGTAAATTCTTCTTTCTTTTCCTCTCCTCACTTTCCTCCGCTCATTTACCTGCGAAAGAAGGGAGACTCTTCACCTTTCTCTTCCCGTGTTTTCTTCAACGCCGCGGCGTCGTATCTTCCCGCAGCTTCAGCGACGGCACGAAAGTTCTGGAACTATTCGAACGTCATCGGGCACCTCGAGCGAACGATTCAAGGGTCACCGAGACGGAGAGTGCTTAGTAGCTAAACAAGTTCAAGAATCTAAAGTGGTTGAAAATCTAGGGACTCGACGATCCCATCGCGAGCCGACAGTCGAGATTCTTGAGTAACGGTGATCTTGATCGATACGGATCCTGGTGAACGGTGATCTGGATCAACGACGCTCTCCGGCACGGCAATTGCGCGCGTTGCGGTCTCGTTGTCAGGAATGGACATCGCGTGCGCGCGCGCGCACACACGTACACACACGCGGCTACAGACAGCGCTCTTCGTCCTCGAGTGTCCTTAGCGGCTTGGTGACCTCGTGCTACGACTCGCTCCGCCGTTTCGTCCGCTGGTACCATGAAAATCTCGGTGACCGCGGCTGTCCCGATCGTCGCTCTTGTCGGCGCGCGCCAGAAATTCTATGTCGCTACGACTGTGCCGGGATTCGACGATTTCGATGAGGGAAGCGGGAAATTTGCCGTGCATCGCGCTTTCCCCGATGATGCGTTGCGCGTTTCTGTCGAATTACGGTACCGTCACTGTTTTTCCTCAATAGCAACTCCAGTTTACGTCGCGAAACAACTCCGCTAAGTCTAGGTTCCAGATCTAGCTTGAATCTTCTTGCCTTTCAAGAAAGCTCTTCTCACTCGCAACAAACAGTGCAAAACGTCAATGCTATAAACTCCGCAATAACTGTCCAAATCTTTACTAATTTAAAAATCCAACTATTAATTTGAATTAATCTCTAATATTAAAAAAAAAAAAATACAGAAAAAACGATCACTTCTCCCGAATATCCTTATTTCTGCCGGACGCTTCTTTGGAACTTTGCAATACACTGCTCAGCACTCCGAGGCACTCTGTCGAGAGTATGGTGCTCGCAAAACTGACAAACAACACCAGGGTTGATTGCCGATCGTCGACGTGACGAGGAACGATTGGCGCTCGTCGGGATCGGTGACACCCAGGATCGAGATCCGGACGATCTCTCGCTAGGTGCGATCGAGCGTCTGTCAACGACTGTCGATGCAGACTCGGGGGAACCAGCGGCGTACGCCCGTCGTCGGTGGACCGTGAGTGACCGTGGGTCACCGCGGGTGACTCCTGGCGACTCTCGCGATGCCAGTGCCAGTCTGTTTGTCTGGCCCATGCCAGTCGTCGTCCCGAGTCGTCTCTCTAGCGAGCTCACCGCCTCCCAGGCCCGTACCGAGGCCCGCCCGATCCCCCGCTCCCCGAAGCTCGATCGCCAACGTTGACCCTTTCTCTCTTCTCTCTCTCTCTTGGCAAATCGGACAAGGCCTCCTACTCCTCCTCCTCGTTTACATTCAGTATGTAAATGCTTTATTGTCGTTTTATTAATGTGACAATTCCGCGAAGGCGGAATCTTAAGTTTGAGCGGAAGTTATTCAACATTTGTGACTTTATATTTACATAAATATAATAAGAATGACAATAATGATGATAAATAAATAGTATAAAAATTAATTTACAAGTGAAAAGGAGGATACGTGCAAATAAATGGTGGTTTAATCGATATTTTGTGAAATAAAAAAAAATTGCTGGTATCACAATGAGATCTTTCTTTCTCTTTCCTTCTTTTTATCTTTTTCTAGTTTTAATTTTACGTTATTCGAGAATTATAAATTTATTTTCTAATATACTTGTTAATTATAATAATATTAAAAATTAAACATTAAATATTATATCCGTTCATAATATTAAATTAAATACAGAATAATGTCAGTACGATAACTAAAATTTTATAATGCTTGTTTAAAATAATCTGTCAAGTATAGAACAGAAAAAACTTTACAATATACATGTTTGTACGTTTAATGTGTAGATATATATTGAATAATACATATCATAATTATATAAAATATACGGATTTATTTTTATTTGAAGCACAATGGAGAGCTTTTGGCTCGTTGTTCGCACGTTCCTGGATCATAGAGGTAGGACCGCCCCTGACGAACGAGTAGGCGGTTAGTATTGGCAACCAGGACTGGTCGCCGATAACTCGACTCTTTAACGAGGTGGTATCGTGCTCCAGGACTAGAGGACGCGATGGCGGCCTGCGAGGCAGGAAAAAGATTTTTCTACGTGGGCAGCTAATATTTCTCAGCTCGCGGATCGTATTCTTATTAATATTGGCGAGATAGGGCGGTCAATCTTAGGGCGTTCAGCAATTTAAAAGATAAACATATAAAACCGCCAATAAAATTCACGTGCTAACTTTTATGAAACGCCTCTTCGAAAATGTTACGTCTGTTATTGACGTTTCTCGCAGCTACCACGTTAAATCGGAGTAATAGACTGAAACTATTACCGATCACGCGGCTAACAACTGATATTTGAATATTCAATACTTCTTTATACAATGTGTCGAGAATACACCTAATATACTGAGAACATCCCTATATTTTATATTTTTGCGATATCTTTCGAACATTCTCAAAATCTACATGTGCTGTTATAGGGGGAAGATAATATTTACATAAATATTTATATAAACGCGATTAGTATGATCCAATGGATCATATATACGGTGTGCACGCCGTGTATAATTGACAAATCGTAAAAGGAACGGCGAAGCTGAGAGATTAGTGGCCGGTGGTGAAAGTGAATTCAAGCCGCAAATATCAAATGAAGGCGATATGAGCGGCGCGAATAAAAATATCGACTCCCGTTAACTTTGCCAGCTTTCTCGGCGTCTATTCAAATCCGCGGGGCCGAGTTAATCCCCTCGAAAATGAATCCGGTACCTCAGCGCTTCCCGTCGAAGACGCTCAAAACCTTAAAGCCCACTTTAGGCGATCTACAATCCACGTTCGGATTTCGGAACGAAGTTCTAATCGTAATTTTATATGCCGCGCGTATTTTGATGCCGTGCACTTCGACGAATATATTTTATACATGTATTCTAATTCTTCAATGCGATTACACGACGTATAAAACTATAAGTAAAATTCTATCTTAAATTTTGACACAAATTACATTATATAGATCGTCGAAGCTGCCTCATGAATTAAATGTTAAATGATTTTAAAAGTTTCTTTCGCTGAGATATAAAGCGCACTCTTTTATAATTTCGCGATTTTGGAGGATTTTTCTGGTAAAAATGTGTAAAATTACTTGAAAAATAGAACATAATATAAAATTCGAACGATTAAGCAATTAAACGTACGAACTTTCTATTCTTTAGTTTTCATCTTTCGATCTTGCACTGTTAAATATTAAAGGATGAAATTTAAACCAATACCTTAAGTTAAATAACATTTTGTTATTTTTAATTATCATGTGTCAAAATTTATTATTTTAACACAAAACAGTATTATTTTGACTTCGTTGGTTTGGTTAAATTAACAACATATTTTGAGTAAGAGCAGTGCCAATAACAATTGTTAAAAATGACTCAAATTGAGTATAATTTGACACTACAAAAACAGGGTGCGCGAGCTAAAAATTTAAATCTTACGCATTGTTGGACGGTACAAAAAAGTCGGGAATATGATTTCGGTAAAATAAGTATGGAAATGTTCACACTTCACCTTTCCGCACCCACGGGAAAGTTACGCAATCGATCTTGAGGTTCCAGTCTCTTCGAAAAGTGATATTTTCATTGGACCCATGTACATTCCTCTGTAGAAGCGTGTGGAAATAGATAAGACGCATAACGATGGGCAGAAATACTAATAGATAATATCTAAAAGCAAATTGTTGCCTTATTAGGCACACATAAGTCACAGGAAAAGTCTGTTGTATAAGAAAAATCCATTCATCGCATACTTTTGCCATCACGTTGCATTTTGACTCACGTTTATCTAACATGAAAAGTGTAAAAAAATACTCCAAATAAGAAAGAAGCTTTCAAGTTTATCGGAAACTCCTTTTTCCCCTCCCAATTTTCATTTTTCGATGACTCGTCTTTTGTCATTGCGAAAACAATACGCGGGAAGTTACTTAAAGCAGACTGCGCATTCAAACATTACGTGAACAAAGGACAGAGAATAGAATGTTACTGATATTTTCTGAAAAAAAAAAAATACGTACTTAATTGCAGAGTTAGTGTCTGAAAATGGATTTTTTATCGCATTATAACTCAATTAAAGAGACTAAAAAAATTATCTGCGAAATTAAATTTTCAAAATTAGGGATCAGTTTTACAGTTTTTCAGATTCCATATCCAGATCTTTTGGATTGCTCCACCAGAATCTCCAATATGGAAATCAATTTCGAAATACATGATATATTGTAGAGTCTAATTGAGAAATCTTTGAATAAATTATCTAGTGCCTAGTTGGGAGAATTAAGAAAGAGACGGAAAGCTGTTCAAGTATTTTAAATCACACTTTGGGCGATCTGATAATCCGCGTCAGTTTCAGAATAAAATTCTGTTTATAATTTTATGTGTATTTTGACGTACCTATGTGTATTTTATTTTAATATATTTTGTGTGCGTGTGTATTTTGATTTCTAAAATGTTTTTCGTATTACACACCGTGTAATACAAAAAAATTATAAATAGAACTCTATCTTGAATTACAGAAGTAAAGCGCATTTTAAACAATCAATTATTTTGCTACATTTCAGGATACAATTATTATTTATATTATTTTATGCGACGTGTATTTTAATATATATTTTACATACTTATATTGTATATTTTGGTCGCTTCAAGTTCAGGTGTTTTATTACACGGCACATAAAACAATGAATAGAATTCCAGCACACGAATTCCTGAATTCTTGATGCGAATTACAGGTCGTCCCAAGCGCGCAGTGCTTCCGATTTTTACGGACGATTAAGTATTCTGCCGAGCGAGAGGTGCCCGCGTCAATCCGCGTTAATTTCGGATACGCTCTTCGGGCTGCGCCGTCTCTTTGTGGGATGGCTGGGCGCGTCAAGTTGGTTCGGGCCATGTCTGTGTCAAGTTGGTGCCAAGAAGTCTACCGGCGCGCGCGATAACCAGCTGCACCGGTAGACTGCCTGCTGCCCGCACGCGGGCCCCGCGGGGCCCCGCAGGGCCCCCGGGACCGGTTATACTTGACCCAGCGCGCGATTCGTTGCGCGGACGGTGCGTCCGAGACCGGATCGCGCCGTCCGCGCTACCGAAAAACACACACGCGCACGTAACGAGCGCGGCTCGAAGGCGCGCGGATCGCGCAGATACAAGTCACAGGAACGGTAAGACGGGTGGACGTCGACTCGGCACAGGGAGAGGAGGGAGTAGATTGGCAGGAATTCACTGTCGGGGATATATGAAACTTCGCGGCTCCAGGCTCCAGAGACGGACGTTTGTACACAGATAAACCACCGAGGAGATACGCTCCTTAGCTTATTTTTAATTCATTACTCAACTGTACGTACCTTTCGAAAAGTTACGGAATCAAGGATCTACGGAAGCAAAAATTGTTTTTCCTCTCCGAAAACATTTTCTCTCTAAGAGCTTATCCTCACAAAACGGATGATTCATGTTAGATCAAGAGAGTTAACGCGATGACGAACGAAAACGGAAATTCCGTTGATAATAGGATAATAGGAATTCAGATAACGTTATATCTCAGTAATTTTGTGAGGATTGTAATCGTTCTCTATTCTCACAAGCTATAACATGATATTTGTAGTGTCAATATAAAAAAGAAAAGAGCGAAATATTAATACAGTATTCCTGCTGTATTTAAAGAATATAAATATCAATGAAAATATTTGATAATTTTTAATATTTCAATTTAGTTGAATAATTATCTAACATCTGTATTCAATTGTTTCTTTTACAATAACAAAGAATTACACACAGATAATTTTATCACATAATTTTGCTCAATTGTCGGCTTAGGATCAATCAATGTCGACATAAATGATGAGAGGAAATGTACTTTTATTCAATAACATGCATGAAAAAATTATTTACAACGCTAATGCTTATAATCACTAAATTACTTAACATACTTCTCCATAAATTTACGATGAAATTCACTTCGTAGGGAATCGTTGATGAACACGTCATGTTTCTTCTTCGGCTCGGAGCGCGCGCAATTTTTAAAAACGACGTCGTCGTCCCACCGTCTTCGTACTTTCATATCCACTCTTCCGCTCTGTGAGGAATAGTTCAACAGAGGATTTCCTGAAAGAATATTTTCCATACGTATTCTTTCCTCCTCCTGGCGCTTCTCCATTTCCTGCAAAAATGGAAAACAATATTTTATTTTATTCTCTAGACAAAGGATATGTGAAAAGGAGAAAGACAGAGCAAGTCAAGATATTTTAATTAATAGTACGATTCAGTACTTACTTTCTTAGCTTGTTCTGCTGCTCGTTCCTTCTTAATCCTCTGAAGTTCGGCCAAGAGCGCAGCAGTATCATCCTCGTCACTATCAGAATCTGATTCTTCATCATCAAGTGGATCGTCCGCATCTAAGCTGGCCGCAGGAACCTGGTCTAACTTCTGCCTTTTTGCACTGGATGTAGTCGATTCCCTGGAAGGTTCAATGGCACGACGGCTTGATCCTTTATCCTTATCTGTTCGCTCTCTTTCCTCCAATTCCTTCCTGAAGTCCCGATTTCGCAATTCCTCGACTGTTCCTTGGCCATGCTCCCTGCCGAGAAACAACATTAAAATTGACATCGCAAATATTATTTATATACTTAATATTCTTTAATTTCTTTTCTACATATATATTGCGATACTTTATATTATGTCTTTTGATAAGTTATGATATATAATGGCAAAGTTTACGTGATTATCAAGTGAATCTTGTAGGTAAGCCTGACTATAATTGAAAAATATAGGCATTATCAACTATTTCAACTAATAATATAAATATCTGACCAAGCTCATTGCGTTTGTTAAACAGGAGAGATACGTTTATCTTTTAAAGAAAAAAAGAGAGAAGACAGATTCAAAAATCATTAAACAAGTCTTGGTCGTCATAACCTCAAAATAATTTTCGCCAACATGAACAGCAGGAGTGCGGATTCTGCTTTTTCGTGCATCGATACATCAAAATGATATACGTAATTGTTGTTAATCGCGGAAAATCGACTTCCAGACTCGTGTACCTGTATTTGAGCTTCGTGTGTGACGGCAAATCCCTACTGCTGTACTGCTTCGAGATCGCGCTCAGGTCCTTCTCGCCCCGTCCTTGTCCTCCTCGGGCAGGCTCGAAGGTCGGTCTTGCCGCCGTCGTCATGTTTTCGCATAAAAATCACTCGAGCGAACCCCAAACTTGATCGATCACAGACACAACTGGATTCCGAACCGACAGGACGCGAACCAAATCAACCAAATGTTGGATTGATTGGGCCAGTTGGAGGTTGGAGGAGAGTATCGAAGTATCGAGTATCAAAAAGCCCGTCTCGATACTATCGATAAAGTTCTCGATAAAAGCTCTCGATAACTGTCGACAGGCATTCGTTGACACTGTTGACAGTGGGAGCTTATCTATTAATAAATCTCCGTTTGTAAAGCTCTTCCCACGGAATCTTCCCCGAGTTTTCCGAGCCTTAATTCGTGCGACATTCAGGCGCCGTTCGAAGAATCTTCGTCGGGCGATCCGCCATTAACCTTACCGCGCCGCGTGGGAAATACGCGGGAAAATGCGATTTCGTTTCACACGCCCGATTATCTCCGTACTTGGTATCGCGACCTTATCAACTTTAATATTGACGTGCTCCAGTTTCACGCGTCGCGTCGATTTCCCAATCGGCGCGAGATAAAAGCGGCGCGTGGCAAAAATTCGCGCGGGTCCCGGCTCTGAAAGAGAAGGGAAAAAAAAAGGAAAAAAAGAGAACCGTCTTTCCGCGAGGAATCGACAGGATCAGAGATCAAACGGGAGCACACTAGCACTAGCACATAGCACAGTGTGGCACAGTCTACAGTTGTATGGTCGGCAAGGAAGTAATATATCATCAGAAACAGAAGAGGGACAAACTACTCGGCATACAAATACACAACCAGTTTCAAAATTACCAATTAAATCTGTTTATGGATTTATGGGCGAAGTACTGTCCGGTGCCAGCAACTTGAAAGAAGAAGAATCAGACGGGAGCGGCGCGGCGCGGCGCGGCGCGGCGCGACAGGACGGGAGACGGGACGCGATTGGTGATGGCCGACGGGAGTTGGTCGCGCGATCTTGATCGATTGTGAGTTTGCGACGAGGAGGCGGCCGGGGCGGTTGCCCCCGTGGTGGTGACAGTGCATGTGCCCGATCGTCCCCCGGCGTGGCCGGGCACGGTGACCGATGCGACCTGACGCGGCCGGCTCGGCGACGGCGGCATCAGCAGACGGCGGTACCGAGCCGAGGCCCGATCGGCGTCGCACGACGGCGTTGGCCAGGATGAGCGAGAGGAAGTTCACGCGCGGCCTGGGGAAGCCCGGCATGGCGGCACAGCTGCGGGAGACCGTGTCCCAGGTCGTCCGCGAGAGCACGGTACAGGTGAGACCACCGATCCCACCGGGAACGCTGAAATCAGGACGCTGGCTCGTCGTACTTGACGTACACGCGATGTAAACAATCACTGGGAGCTCGAGATTTTATGTTCCTTTTATATTCCTAGTCGTCCTACATCGCGGAATTTCGTCGTGTTCGTCAGTGTCAGTGGAATATGAAGTCGAGATTTCGTGAAATTGAGGCTTAAAGTATTTTAGGATTTTCTGTGCCCACGATAGTTTTTGTCTTTCAAAATTCACATGTTTTTTGCAGAGTAAGCCGCACTTGGTCGAGCCCATTGACTTTGAGAATTTTGTGCTAAAGAATAAGACGCTGTTGCAAAATGACCCTCAGCGAGAGCTGCTGCTGTACCCCCAGGATGATATTTCTGTGAGTTTACTGCTTTCATACCGCTTATCTATATCAGTGTGTTGTCGACATGCCTTTCATTTATAGATAAGCGAACAAAGCAAGAATAGCAATAGGATACGAGATAAAATTGAAGTACATGAAGAATATAATTAATATATTTTTATTAATTCTACAAATAAGCAAAATTAAAAGTATCTTGTTGAAAAAAATTCTATTTTCCAAAATAGAGAATAATTAGAATTGTTATTAAATATTTATGATATTTGATACGTGATTATTATTATTGTTGTTGAATGTACATTTTCCAACAGCAAGTGGTTCTGCCAAGGAGATATCGCAGTGTGGTACCGACGGCGCAACATATTACAGAATGTGAGGAAGGAGAGGAGAATCTCCTAACGAAGGAGTGTCTATCCAGTTATACATCCAATTGGAATCTTGTACATTACAAGTACGCGGCATATAGCGGAGCTTATCTCGAGTTGCCAAGGTATGCGAGTTTAATGCTTGAGATTAATTGGAATCTCTGACAGCTGTCTGTTTTATAGATGCTATTATTTCATAAATTTTCAGAATATCGAAAGCGGACGATCTAAAGGACGAGGTGTATGAAATCGATACCGAGGTAGACCAGGTAGACGAGGTAATGTTCTTCTTTTATTCTACAAGATTTTTCGGATCGTTTAATATCATCTTGGTTACTTTTGTCGCATATTTAGAGCTAAGTGTAATCTGTATACATTTTCATAGGATTTAACGAAGAATGACGGTATAACGAAGGAAGGTTACTTGATGAAAGGTCCTGAGATTGGTAGTGCGGATAGAATGTTTGCTCATATCGGCTCGAAATCGTTCAAAAGACGTTTCTGCCATCTCAGACAGGAGGTTGACGGCACTTATATACTCGAGTTTTTTAAAGACGAGAGGAAGGGTGAGGCGAAATTGACAATAGTGATGGACTTTTGCACTGAAGTTGTTAGAAATTCGAAGCGTGGGAGATTCTGCTTTGAACTACGGATGAGTGACACTCACAAGTCTTATACTTTGGCTGCCGATAACGAGGCTGATATGCAAGATTGGTTATTGAAACTCAGTTCCGTCTTGCAACATTACAAACAGCAGGAAGAAAAGCGCGCTGCATCGCTAGAAAGAACCTGTAATACACCTCCGCCATCGCCGCAACCTATGCAGGTAGTACAAAATTATCTTAATATTGTTATTAAATTATTTTAAATAAAAAATTATTTAAGGTAAGATAAAAGATAATTGTTTGATGTTAAAGTGGACTTAATGTTCTTGATTTTAGGTTTATGGCACACTGAAAGGTCTCGAGCAGAGTATGAATCCGCAACTAATAAAATATTCTAGAGAGACTGATACCAGCATCGCTTTAGCGAGGAGAGAGAACAGAAAAAGACTGTTCAGCGTGTATCCTTACATACCCCATGCCAAAACAGCTGTAGGACAATCTGCCGATAACGTGGACCCTTATAAGGAGCAATTCGGCCATAGGATCCTCGTCAAGTGCGAAAGTCTTAAATTTAGACTACAAGCACCTATCGACGAAAAAGAATCTCTCTGTCAAGTGGAACCTTATCATACAGTGTTGAGCCTTTTCGACGCGAGGACTGGCAGAAAACTTACAGAGAATTTTCATTTCGATATTAATCATGAAATAGTGCGAAATATGACGAGAGAACTTAGTCCTGCAGGAATTACAACAGAGGATATTACTCTTCCTGGGGAATTGAAGAACATTCCTTCGGACTGGATCAAATATCCGAAACAAGTAAGATTATTTAAACACGAAAATCCAATGAAAAATGTGAGATGTTAATAATTCTAGTATATATAAATGTCTAAGATAAGAATTTGTTAATCACTTAATTTATTCTGGATTTATTAATAGACTGAGGATTTATAAAGATAATTGTTGTTATAGGCTATATTCAACATTAGTAATCCTCACCCAGATATATTCCTCGTCGTAAGGATAGACAAGTTACTCCAGGGAAACATATATCAGACCTCAGAGCCATATTTGAGAGCTACTAAGGATCCAAGATTGGGCTTGAAGGTGCACAAACAAGTCCGAGCATGTTGTCAAAGGTAATATTATAAATTCAGGTATTTTTAAATATAATATTAAGTGTAAATTTCATATTTTAAGCGGATATTTAACAATTAAAAAGATGATTACAAATAAGCGTGATTGTACAAGACGATTATTCTTTTTTTTTCAGACTGGGAAATTATAGAATGCCATTTGCATGGGCTGCAAGACCACTATTTAGATTGTATAGCAACGAACTGGATACATCCTCGGATTTCCCAGCAATATACAGGCAGGAGGGTCACAAAATAAAAGATGAGGAGCTGCTAAAACTTCTTTCTGAGTACAGAAAGTATGTATTAATTGTAAATTAATATGATTAAAAAATTTATACCACATGGAGCTCAACATGCGTGCTTTATTAAACATTATATCAGCAAAATTTTGTTCGCAGGCCTGAGAAGCTTAGCAAATTGACTGTGATACCTGGTTGGCTGAAAATTAAAATAGAGCCTATTACGGACATTCCTGAAAGTGCGTAGTCGAATAATATATTTTATAATTAAATAGAGAAGATATCTTTGGTCGGGCTGGATCATGGTAGCCTAATAATAATATTTCTATGTGTGAATTTTGTATACTTCTATAACTCGGCAAACTGCGCGCCGATTATTTGTCGATAAATAAAGCCTGTATTGAAGAACTAAAGATTTAATAATAAGTTTCGAAGAAACAATAATGACTTAAAGATGCAAGAATTACACAATTTTTGTAACTTGATTCTAAGTAATTTAATGAATTTTTTGTAATAAGTAAAAAGGCTTTTAATAATTCTCACTACGAAAAGAGAAATTGTAGTCAATAGTTTCGAACGATTCCAGATATATAATACATAAAATACGATTTCTAGATACATTGTCGACTTGCCTGGCACCGTTAAAGCCATTTCCGATCCCACCAACGGCGGAGCCGACGATCGAGGTCGCCGAATTCGAGAGCACTTCCGAGAGGGATGTGCATCCGTACACGACGTATGTCAATCATCTGTACGTGTATCCGCAGACACTCAATTTCGACAGTCAAAAAATGTTTACCCGAGCTAGGAACATAGCGTGCATCATGGAACTCCGCGACGACGACGGCGAAAACGTCAAGCCTTTACGAGTATGTGATAAAAAAATCAACTTATTTGAAGATTAAGGGATCTAAATGGCTTCATCTTCTTTCTACTATTTCTAACAGGCGATTTATGGGAGACCGGGTTTGCCGTTACTATGCTTACGAGCGTCGTGCGCCGTGTTACATCACAGCGCAGTACCTTCTTGGTATGAAGAAATCAAGATTAAGCTACCCACGAAATTGCACGCAAAACACCATATACTATTCTCCTTTTATCACATAAGTTGCGATATGAACAAAAAGAAAGAGAACGGCGTTGAAAACTGTGTCGGCTATGCATGGGCGCCTTTGCTGCATAAAGGAAGGTGAGATTCGATAAATCAATGATCGATGAGCATTTAAACTATTAGCATATTTTGTTGTATCTTATAATATTTGAACGATGGTAAGAAAATAGAAAGAAGAAAAATATATTTTTGATATTTTATATACTTTGTGCAGACTGAACGTGGATATAGAATCGAATATCCAGGTATTGCCTGTAGCGACGCATTTACCGTCGGGATATCTATCCATACAACCCCTTGGACTAGGGAAAGGGGTAAGAGTAAGATCGATCATTGGTATTGTGTCAATTAATGACATAGTTTGGACGACATGAGGGTGACTTGTATGTTTTCGTAGAACGCAGGGCCGGATATCACTTGGATTGATTCCCAACGACCAATCTTCACGGTATCTTTCCAATTAATTTCGACGGTATTCACGCGGGACCTTCATCTGCACAATCTGTTCGTCCACGCTGAACGCATCTTGGACACAAAGCCCTCGGCGTCGCCCTCGGATTCGGAAACGTGCAAAATCCTGAAGGCTGCACACGCGGTTCAACTAGTCACCGTTATCACGTTTCTCCCAACTATATTGAATCAACTGTTCGTGTTGTTGACGTGCAATACCAGCCAAGAAGTCGGATTATACGTGATCAGGGTCTTAATACATTTTATAAACATGGTGCACGAAGCCGGGCGTAAGGAAATTCTACAAGCGTACATCAAGGTAGGATTTAGAATATGTTTGAAAGATAAATATTCAATTTCCAGTTTTATTAGCTCTTGAATATTGAAACTTTGGTTTATATATTTTGCGATTGGTCTGACTCTACCCTAGTTCTCTGATTCTAGTTCGTGTTTGTACTGCCTCCTCTCCGAAATGGTAACGTCGCGGTTCACGAGCAACTGGCGAAGCATTTGCCAACTTTGTTACAACCGAGTAATACCGATTTTCTAGTTGTGAACAAATTCATGCATCACTCGAGCTTCTTTTTCGAAATAATGATCAAGAGTATGGCGCAATATCTACTGAGTACTGGTAGGATAAAGGTAAATTCTTCGAGATTACTTTAACTTGAAACTTGGCGACTATTAATATCGATAGAGTAGGATTATTTATTGTAATTAAATATTGCTTCATTTTTCGAAGTGTTTTGTATATTTACCAAAATAAATTATCAATCTGTCTCTTATAAAAATTAATTACTTGAGCAGTTAATTTATTTTTTCCTAGATGCATAGAAACGAGCGATTCTCAAAAGATTATCACGAGAAGATCAAGATGTTATTAGACGTGATTATGCCATACTTAATGACCAAGTACAGAGAAATGCCAGTAGAGACACACGAATTGAACAAGAGTCTCGCACAATTTTTAAAGGTACATAATATCACATAACTCACACAGTATATATCATACACTGTATATCTTTATCACTATTTTGATTTTGATTATCGCGGCACAGCGATGTCTCACATTCATGGACCGTGGCTTCGTGTTTCGTCTCATCAATTCCTACCTGGACAACTTTTCGCCTGGCGACCAACGCACGCTACACGATTTCAAGTTTACTTTTCTGCAAATCATCTGCTCTCACGAGCACTATGTATCCTTCAACTTGCCGATGATGCAGTCGCGTCTTGCTTCCAGAGGTAAATTCTTATATCATCGATACACACAAGGATTACGGTGAAAATATACTAATTTATTGTAACTTAATTGTTTCGCGTGTTCAAAAGATACTGAGAATGACACTGATTGTGAAAGTGAACCAGAATGCGACGTTGGTACGTTTATAATTATATTCGTACACAAATATGTGTGTTATGTGTATGTTCTCGTTTATAGCAAATATCCGTTACATATTTTCTCTTTTGTAGCAATATATAGTTAATGCTAGTTATAATTTATAATTAATCAGTTTAAAAGCATCATTAATTCAAGGATTGAGGTCTCTCAGATTGAAATATACGTTTCTACACGTTTTTTGTATTTTTATAGGATCATGCACTGAAATCTTATATATATTTTCTGCTCATCTGTATTTTATACGCACTTATACCACCATTATTTCAGTTACATTACACAATTAGAGATAGTATATATTAAAAGCAGATAAAACTGTGAAGTGCTTATTTGATGACAGATTTAATGAACGAGTATTGTCTCACGGAAGAATTTTGTAAGCACCACTTCCTGGCTGGTCTTCTGATGCAAGAAGTTAGGACTTCCCTCAACGAAATCGTGCAGATCCGTAAGGTCGCCATTGGTACTTTACGGGATTTAATGGCGAAACACGAGTTAGATGATAGATATCAAAATAAGGTGCGACTTTTAAACGTTTATGATTACAAGCTGCTCCTAGCAGTCTTTAAGGAATTGCATTGTTGGAAAAAATTGGGAATGATCATTTTTCTTCTGATATAATTTATTGATAGGTATTTCACGTTTTGAATTCTAATTATTTCAGGGTCAACTGAGTAGAATAGCATCGATTTACATACCATGGCTTGGCATTGTATTGGAGAATTTGCATCGACTGCAGTCGGTAGAGGAGAACGAGATCAAGATAGAGATCAAACAGAATGGCACTAACAGAGTGTCGACCAGCAGTTCGTTTCTGACAGTGAAGGATACCGTTGCCAGTTCCACTACCGCGGGTACACCAAAATCCATTCACAGGTATATGCCAGTATATTAATAAAACAATATTAATAATACAATAGATAATTATTAATTAATTGAAAGTTAAAGATAAATTTTGATGTTACGCAGACTGACTCTTCACCTGGACACTCAATCGCCTATAAGATCGTCTATGCATCTGCGAGATTCTACCTACTTTGCCGCTATCGCGGGTCAAGGGTTGGTAAATGGATATTCTTGCACTAGCGTTGAGTCTGATACATCGACGGTGTCCGGTGCGTCACAGTCTAACATTTCCCAAGAGACCGCCATCGTCAGAGAATTGCCGGAAAACGGAACGGGCGAGAGAAACAGACATTCGCGTACTTTGAGTGTGACGCAATCGTCGCCCAGGTGCGATAAATTGCAGCCCTCGGAAGTGAAAGATATACTACTTTGTTTCCTATTCATTGTCAAGTATCTAGGTGATCATCAGGTGATCGCCTGGTGGCAACAGTGCAACGATACGGAAATACTGAACTTCTTCACAGTAATCGAGTAAGTAGCAAAACTGACGGTGTAGTAAATAATAGAAATATTGCCTGTTTTTGAGAAAATATGCCGATATTCTCTTATTATACGAATGCATTGTATGATAAAATGTCTTGATGTGTGTTTAGTATACTCATACTAGATTTTACACGAACAACCTTGTTTTCTTCTACTTTCAGGATGAGCTTACATCATTTCAAGTATATCGGTAAGAGACAAATAGCCGCGAATGCTGCGAGTAATATTGGAAAGCCCCGCACTGTCAAAGCAATGACTTTACCCGCCAGAATGGCACCGCCAGACTTTACCACTGAAAGTCCCGCTACCAGCACGTTGCAACCTCACAATACAGTTACTAGAGAGAATCTGGTTGAAAATGATTGCGGCAAAGTATATCAAGTTTTACTGGAGGCAAATATGGCAACGGAAGTTGGGCTAATTGCGTTGGATTGCTTGGGTCTCTTCTGTATTCATTTTAAAGTAATCATGTTTACTTTATCACAAATTTTTTTATTTCTTTGATTTTATGTGTAAAATATATAATAATATACAATAAGATTAAAACATTGATTGACCAATTTAGGCAACAAGATCTTAATAAATAAAAATTTGAATAGTTTAAAGTAAGGGACCTTAAGAAAGTCAAGAAACCAATATAAGTTCACATAGAGATTTTGAAGATTAAAATATATAAATTTAAATATAAATATAGTGCACGCGCGTGGGATTTTTTTATCCAAATTGACCAATCAAAACATAGCTAGAAGCTTGTGACCATAAAACGTTAACATAGCTCATTTTTTGCAGGATGTTCTCTTGGCAAATGAAGGCGACAACGCAGTCATGCAAAAGTTTTTCAATATTTATTTGTCGTTTCTTCAAGTCGGTCAGTCCGAAACTTTATTACGTCACGTTTTCGCTGGACTCCGAGCTTTTTTGAATAATTATTCCGTCGCGCTTTTCCAAGGTAATTGTTAATTTTCAAAGCTTCAAAAAAGTTTTATTTGTAAAGAATGAGAATGAATACATAACTACCTACTCTTCGATGGTAGAGAGCAAGTATGATAGGCACATGTAAAACATGCACAAAGCTTGAATATATTTTTTTTCTTTACAGGCAATGCTGTGCTTTGCGGGCGTTTGTGTTATGAGCTGCTGCGTTGCTGTAACAGCAAGTTGAGTTCCATAAGGCAGGAGTCCTGCGCTTTGCTGTATTTGCTCATGCGAAGTAATTTTGAGTTTACTAGTAGGAAAGGATTGACTAGAGTACATTTGCAGGTACAGTACTCTTCTAGAACACAATCTTTAAGTCTAGTTTATTTAACGCCACTTATTTTTATATAGTCATTATCGTTGATTTTTAAGTGAATTGTACAAGCTTTAAACACGTCTTATTATTTCTCTATAGGTGATAATTTCAGTGTCCCAAATGTTGGGCAATGTAATCGGTCTGAACAATTCACGATTTCAAGAATCGTTGTCGTTAATCAACAGTTATGCCTCTTCTGATAAAGTTATGAAGGGAACAGGATTCCCAGTTGAAGTGAAGGACCTCAATAAAAGAATACGAACGGTTTTAATGGCAACCGCGCAAATGCGGGAGCATAATAACGATCCTGAGATGCTGGTCGATTTGCAACATAGTTTGGCTAACTCTTACGCCAGCACGCCCGAATTGAGGCATACCTGGCTGGAAACGATGGCTAGGAACCACGCTAGAGATGGAAATTTTTCCGAGGTACTCATTTTTACAAATTATCTCAACAAAGATGCACTTTATATAAAAATATATTGTCTGAGACTCTTACATAATGGATATGTCAACACGCGTTTTTCATTCTAAGGCTGCTTGTTGTCAACTACATATCGCGGCATTAATGGCTGAATATTTAAAATTGCGGAAAATTCATCCGTGGGGCGCAGAAGCTTTCGATCAAATATCTGTGAACATATCGAAGGACGAGCGTAATCTCAAACTTGATGCTGGTGAGATTTGTATGTTTATTTTATTGCATTACGTTTATCATTTGTATTATTTTGGTTGCATTTTTATCGTGTCGTGTATACATCTGAATTGAGAACAGATGCAAGAAATATCGATCTTTTTTCAGGCATTCAAGATATTCACTATAACGAAAGTTTACTTCTTGAGCAATTGGAAATTTGTGCCGACACATTGGAGAAGGCCGAGCGCTTCGAATTGCTTGGGCACTTATATCGTTTAATAGTTCCTATATATGAAAAGAAGAGAAATTACGAAGCTTTGGCTAATTGTTACTCGCATTTGGCGCAAGCCTGTAATAAAATTGTGGAGGTAACACGGACTGGAAAGAGATTGCTCGGGAGGTTTTACAGAGTGGCATTCTTTGGCATGGTAAGATATATCACCAGCAGAGAGCGTATATTTTTATAATTAAAAAAATTTGATTGACACATGTATTATTATCTAGGCGTACTTTGAGGAAGAGAATGGTCAAGAATACATTTATAAGGAGCCAAAAGTGACATCGTTATCTGAAATATCGGAACGTTTATTGCATTTGTATAGCGAAAAGTTCGGATCTGAGAACGTTAAGATAATAATGGATTCTGTACCAGTCGACGTAAGCGAATTAGATCCCAAGATAGCGTACATTCAGGTAACGCATGTCACACCCTACTTTGAGAAGACGGAGTTGGAAGTGCGACAAACCGAGTTCGAGCAGAATCACAACATATCTTGCTTCATGTTTGAGACGCCATTTACTAAGGAGGGCAAGGCAAGAGGCAGTCCGGAGGATCAATGGAAACGTAGAACTATTCTCACAAGTATGGTCAAACATCAAATCTAATAATTCTAAAAATTCTAATAATCCGATAATTACCTATTTATTTGATTATCTTAGATCTCGCTTTATTGAAAAAGAAGTATGAAGATTTATGCTTGTTCTTGCAGCGCAATATGCTTTTCCGTATGTGAAGAAGCGCATCGGGATTGCCGAGAAACGGATAGTGGAGCTCAGCCCTATCGAGGTCGCTTTGGATGAGATGAGGCAACGCGTTCAGGAATTGGAGGATGTGGCTTTGATCGGACCGACGGATGTGAAGAAACTGCAGTTACGTCTCCAAGGTAGCATTTGCGTAACGGTAAATGCCGGTCCTTTAGCCTATGCCTCCGCATTTCTGGATCCTGCGCTGTCTCCACAATACCCCGATGACAAAGTAGAAGAATTGAAGGATGTCTTTAGGTACGTTTTGTCATTTTACACTTTTTCATGTACACGATATCGCAATCACTTATAAGTCCTCTTGGAATTTCAGGGAATTTGTCAAGATATGTTATACAGCATTACAAATTAATAGCAAACTGATCACGCCCGACCAACACGAATATCAAGAAGTGTTACGTGAGAATTACCAAAAACTGTGCCAGAGTTTGTCGTCCTTGTTCGGGGAACCAATATGGCCGGACGAGCAAGTAGGAAGTTTCAAACGCAATAGCGCTGCTCTGTTCAGCGCTATCAGCGGTGCTAACAATCATACCAGTACAGCCTAAGTCAATAATCTTAGAAAGTTCATCCAACAGACCTCAGATTCCTTTATTTTTTAGCATAATATGTCTCAAGTTCTTCCTTCGCAAGTACAAGCTTGCGAAATATTTATATCGCCTTGTATTTTTATTCTCCTTAATTACAAATCTACGAACAAGTGTCTGTATCAATTTTGTAACTTTTGCACTGGCCTAATGGAGAAGACTTTCTAATCACTGCCAAATCTTTTAGACGAGGCATTTACGAATGTCCCAAAAAAGTCCCGATTATACGTAAGGATAAATTATAGTTAATCTGTAATTGTTCAAAAATTTCGACAAAGCCAATGAGAACTGCTTTTATCTATTAAGCTCGCAATATGGATGATGTAGTTCGATAAGTTGCGATTCAACTAGTAGAATAAGTTGGTTTATATACCAGGGCATTTGTACAGTATATCTATGGCGAGTAAAAATGTACTGGTACACCTCAGTTCTTTCACTATGGATAATGTTAGTCCATAAGGCATTTAAATTTGATGTCCGTATATAATCAACTTTATTAGGATTTTTGTTTTCATCCTTTTATCAATTAGGAGAAGGAAACTATAATCTAATTAATTAATCGACAAAAATAATTTAACGAAATAAGAGGAAGTTATCCACTTGCGATACTTGTGGAGAATCGACACAATAAGATTAATATTTTACGTGTCTCGATTAAATTTATTTTGTAATCTAACAAACAGACTTCAATTGCTGTTTGTGCTTATTTTACTAATGACATATTAAATTTTCGCTTTAACCATAAGCACTGAATGTACGGATAAACTTTTTTACCTAGTGCTCCTTGCAATATGTATAAATGATGTATCAAATACGTATTTAGACACTTTATGTAAAAATTGATATTTGTACATATATCACTTGATTAATTTCTTGCGTGCGTATAAGTGCTGTGTAGTCGGCTGTTTTAGAAATATTGAAGGGAAAGTATTAGGTCTTTTAACGCTATAGATCGTCGAATATTTTATCCAGCAGTTATGTGAACTTACGTATGCGCTTGCACACAATTAGTAGTACAAAGACGATACAGATTGAGTAATTTCTATGCCAATTATTGGAACTTATAGAGAATTAAATGAAAGTTTGTTTATATTTTAGAGAGGAAGAAAGGGCTGTAGCATTGGCTACAGTTTATCGATGGGAAACAAGTCCGACCACTTTGATACCTTGCGAATACGCACAAAAGTGATGTTACATATTGATAATTATTTGTGAAAGTGCGAAATAAAATTTTATAAATCGTGAATGCGAGCGAGCGAGCGAGAGAGAGAGAGAGAGAGAGAGAGAGAGAGAGAGAGAGAGAGAGAGAATGAACGGAAAAGTATGTATGTGTAAATTTATTTGTGTAAGCAGCAAAATCGATGCGAATATTGGTAGTTTAGTAACAGCTTTAAGAATAATAATTACAATATACATAGTGAGACATAGTGAGAAATTTTTGAATATATTTCGAAAGTAATGGTTTAAATGTTCTTTTGTCATAATTGGATATGCACGAGTGTAAAAATTCTAAAAAGAAGCTTGTTTAATTATGACATCTAACGCTGTGTCTTCAGTTAATATTTTGCGAGAATTTTTTCAGCTATTCCGCAAAATTTGAACCGAAACTTTATGTAGCATTTATAATAATCTGTTTTAATTGGATATATAAAATAAAGTTTAAAAATATAAATATATAGGTACAGAATGTCCTATAATTACCGTACAATACTTTAATTTAAGTATATTTTTTACCTTCTTCAGTTGTATGTAAAAAATGAACACAATGTGGCTAACAGATGTTAAAATGGTTTAACACTTGCGACCGCGCATGAAAATTAGAAGCATTAGATAAACGTCTATAATTTGTCCAAGATTTTTAAAAATATCTTGTCAAAAATCTCGTAGTAAATTTCATCAAATCTGCGGATTACTAAAATTATACCGAGTTGAAAACGCACGAGAATAAGCTCTGGAATATATTATGTCGAATTTGTAAATCATCGAAGGGGTTGAAAATAAAAAATTCATACAAATAAAGCAAGATTGGTAAATAACGGATGTTTTATATAAGTAATACTGAAAAGATAAACCAGAAGAGATAGCTATGAAAGAATATCAAAAGAACCTTTAAATATCTAAAAAGAGCTGTCGTGATATTTATGTCATATTCTCTACGATAAAAATTTTAGAGATTAATTATTATTAATTGCAAGTTATTCACAATTCATAAGTTTTGATCAGATGATGTAAAGTTTCTTAATCTCTTGATAGTATATTTCGGAAATGTTTAATAATACAATTACAGAATGACAAATCCAAATAAAATTTTCAAGATAAATGAATTAACATTGATTTTATGATACACGCAGTCTGGAAAGCCGAGTTTTACAAGAGGGGGGGCTAACTTCACGCGCATATGCCTTTTTTTCGTATTCTTAATTACAGTTTTTGCTACCAATTATCGGGAATGGACTACCAAACACCATCAAACGGCCACCAAATGAATGGTAATAGTTATTATTGGATTTTCAGTAGTAGGGAGGCTAACTTCACACAGCTCAGAATTTGATTATGTATTTTGCTAAAAAACTAATATATGATATGCATGATATGATATTAGGAATGACATATTACAAAATGGAGATACGTATAGCGGTACACTTTATGTGTAATTGTAATCCGAAGTTCTTCACGAAGTTCTAACGGTATTTTGATGGTATTTTAACGGTATTTAGAAGGGTGTCACCATGGAGAAGTGGCAACACTGTACAGTCTACGTTAAAAATTGTAGATTGGACAGAAGGTCGCGCTGTACGGAAAGACACTAGACAGCCGAACGCGCGCGAAACTTTTGGCTACGATTATAACCGGTGAACGTCCTATATTTGAGACAAACTTTTCAACTGTTTAAATGCATTTATTTCCCAATAATTGTACATTATAATAGAATTTATATTTATATAATAAATTTGAAATTATATTGCGTATTTACAATATCCATTGTTAACTTTATTTGTTAATCAAATTAGTATAAAATTGGCCCTGATCGAAATTGAGTCCTACTTATTAGACGAGATACTTCAGGCAGCGCACCTGTGTTTTGCGCGAAACCGGTTGAGAGACGTTAATTGTGAAACGCGCTTGCTTTTCAGACGATGCGGTAGTGGACAGCGTCGCAGCGGCGGAGTTCTTTTACGGGCATCGAAGGTTGAATTTAGAGAAAAGAGATATTTCGCGTAGAACGGAAGGGAAGAAGGGAATCTAGATGCTAGGCCGGATCAAAACGAAATAGAAGAGAGAAAGAGCGAGAGAAAGAGAGTTCTTAACAGGAAGACCAGGCGAGGACGAGATAGGGGAGGAAAGAGAACGAGAGAAAGAGAGAGGGATAGGTGCTGGGATGGGCAAGAAGCGGCACGACCGGCGCCGCGGCGCACAGTGGGAAATTCCGTGCTGTTTTTGGACAAAATTCTTGTGACAGCACAATTTTTAAGATATCCCGTTGATTTTTTTTTTAAAATGCTCAGGAAGATTTGTGCGTTAATGCAGTACTGCGGAAATATATTTGTTGCACAACGAAAATTGTTAAACATAGAGTGCAATCCAGTAAATATGAAATTTATGCAAAAAACGGTAATCCCTTCATAGACACAAGCTTCTAGGGTATAGTTTAACCGAGATGGATATCATTTTAACTATGTTTCAAGTCGCTGATAACAAATTCAAGCTTTAAATTTCAAAATTAATTTGTTTAAACAAATTATCTCAAAGTAAGATGTTTTATAAATTTTCATTTCAAAATCTGTGGATATTACATAGAAAAAACATAGTAGGCCTTCAAAGTAATATCTTTTAGATCCAAATTGTTAATAATAATTTACGATTATTTTTTTAACTTAAAGTATATCTTCTATATCTTTATTTAAAGGAATTAACGGAAGATTATCAAGCGAAATGAATATAATTTTTATGATTTTTGATAGCTGATTACGAATTCAACCTCAGAATTGCAATATTAATTTGTTTAAACAAATTTATTTAAACAAATTATCTAAAAATAATATTTTTTATGAATATTTATTTTAAAATCATTCTGCAGACAGAATTACATAGAAAAAATAGAAAAAGCCTTCGAAGTAACACCTTGTAGATCTAAATTGTTAATAATAAAGGTTGATTATTTTTTTATAATATCTTTTATTTAGTATTACACAATAAATATATATTTGTATAATTTTTGTATAATTTGTATAATTTGTATAATTTTATATATTTAATATTATTTTCAGATAATTTGTTTAAATAAATTTGTTTAAACAAATTAATTTTGCAATTCTGAGGTTGAATTCGTAATCAGCTATCAAAAATCATGAAAATTATATTCATTTTGCTTGATAATCTTCCGTTAATTCCTTTAAATAAAGATATAGAAGATATTATACTTTAAGTTAAAAAAATAATTGTAAATTATTATTAACAATTTGGATCTAAAAGATATTACTTTGAAGGCCTACTATGTTTTTTCTATGTAATTGTATCCACAGATTTTTAAATAAAAATTTATAAAACATCTTACTTCGAGATAATTTGTTTAAACAAATTAATTTTGAAATTTAAAGCTTGAATTTGTTATCAGCGACTTGAAACATAGTTAAAATGATATTCATCTCGGTTAAACTATACCCTAGAAGCTTGTGTCTATGAAGGGATTACCGTTTTTTGCATGAATTTCATATTTACTGGATTGCACTCTATGTTTAACAATTTTCGTTTGTGCGTCTGTTCGACACGAAGGCCCAGCGAAGAATTTGACAGACGGCAAATGTAAACAAATAATATCGCAACAGCTCGTCGTCAGGCACGACGTCACGCAGCGCTTCGCGACTGCTTTTCGGGCTTCTATGACTCGTAAAATTGTAAGATTTTTTCAACTAATGCATCACTCAATTGCTTTCCTCTCTTT